GATTACTTGTTCTTAAGTCTATATATACTATATTTGTTACTGGAATTAACTCTTACACATCTACGCTTAATTATTTGTAATCAATACCTACTAGCATGTCTCTCTATTGCGTCCATGTAGTAACAACTTTTTGCAAAATCGTGCTTTGTAACGAAATTAGAATTTGGGAAATCTTAAATTATGATCATTAATGAATGCTCGATAGATATGTAAAAAAATACTATTTTAAATTACAAACTTTTAGTATAAACTATAAGTAACTGGATATAAATTAACGTCATTAACTGAAATGCCTCGAAATCGCGGACTGTTCAAAACGGTGTAGTGTCCATGCAATCTGATTTACGCGCCGCCGCTCTATTCCTGAAGCCGGCCCTAACAATAAAGTACACGCTTACCATTTTTAGGAATGCTAATCCTGGCAGTTACTTACGGCTCATGATTTATTGAATCAATTTCTGAATTTCGTAGTAACATTGTTTTACTTCCAAATATTATAATAATTATTATTGGTGACTTAAAACTGAAGTACAGATCTATATCTGTACTTATTCGAATTAAAGTAATAAGAAAAAGCAACAATACTTGAAATATTTTTTTTACTTTACTATGGCGGCAAACAAGCATACGACTTGTCTGATGATAAACGAACAATGGACACCTGTAACATCAGAGACATCACGCGTACGTTGCCGACCCCTATGAAACCTTAATACGCCCTTTTTAAAGAACCCCATGCTGTAGTCCCTAGAAAATGCCACTTAAAGCCTCGGCAGGAAAATCGTTCCACAACCTGAATATAAATGGGAGGTAGCTCCTTTGAAACCGCACTGTACGTGACCTGGTTTTAATACTTTAATACACACAATTACAAATGGTTGCTAAGATATATTGCAGTGGCATGCAGATGGATAGATGAACAAAGTCACACCATAAAGGATTGTACCTTTTTAATATGGAACTCTTAATAGAGCAATAACGCAGGAAAACTAGACAACAATATTTTAACACACAAAAAAAAATAAAAGGGAACAATTTTATTTTTGTTTATATAAAATATACCTACATAGATTAATGCAGGGTCATTAATAAAATTAATGAATTAATGAAAACTCTTCATTGTTCTCTTCAAAGAATGATATAGATTATAAATATTAAAAATATGTATAAAAAAAATACAATAAATCTAAATATTAATCGTAAAATATATAAAATATAAATTTGTACAGTATTTTAAATGTTTATTACTGTTATTCTCATAGGATTTAATTATACTTTTTATTTTAATTTAGATAAATCCACGAGATATAGCTATGCTTCATAAAAATGCGTGCGTCAGGCTTAATAAATATTGCTATAGAGAAATAACAATATAGGCGTATTATAATTGCAAAGACCTTTGCTAAAACTAATGCCAAGGTTGAAGCTCCTAAGATGAATAATTATTGATGACAGTATGTAATTCAAACTCCAAATTATTTACCCTCATGTCATACCTACACAAATAATTTGTCCTGTCATTTATATAAAAAAGGCGACCAAGTTATTATGAGCTCTGATACTAACAGAAATTTCCAGATTTCAATTGATTTAAAAAAGAAGAATGTTTTCAATTCACCTATATTTATTGTATATTATTTTTCCACGCGCCTTTGTCCGCATTATAGGAGTATATTGACTGGGATAAATAGTACTGCTCATGTCTATAGGCGACGGTTATCACTTTCCATCAGGTGGGTCATCAGCTTGTTTGCCATTCTAAGCTGATAATTATGATAATTTTAATCAAATAACCAGTGATATGGACTTCCGCGAAATAATACCTTAGTCAGTAAAATAGTCTATGACTTTCTTCATGCTTAATACTAAACATTAGAACGATTGGTTAACCCGTCAAAACGTCAAAAGGTAATAAACAAACAAGTAAACAAACTTACTTTCATATGTTAAGGATTTTAATTTTACTCATACTGCCTTTATGCGCTTTGTTATTTTTGTTTCCTTTTATACCATCAAATCAAGGGCGAAAAGAAATGATGGCACATACAACAAATAATAATTGAAGTATTTTTAAATATAAATTATTTAAATAAGAAATAAAATATTATTGCGGATCAATAGATCTTGTTATATTGGTCATATTATTAGTGTAAACTTGTTGACTTTAAGGCTAGTATGCAATTATCAGACCCCACGCTGATGTAATTAAATTGCAGACTTTTTATTGTTTTTAGCGTAACTAGTTGTCATTTTTTGCACACTTTACACTACATTTATTCAAATTCGATTATAATTGAAGCATTCATTGTAAAATGCAATTAATTATAAAGTATTCTATGTCAGTTATAACTAGTATTAATTATATTTATTACCTTTAGGCACATTGTGAGTTTAACAAGTATGTTTCTAAGTCAAGTTAAAATATGTTTTTTTTTTTATGAGAATAGTAAACAAGCTAACGATCCACCTGATGGAAAGTAACAACTGTCGCTTATAGATCTGAACAGTACCATGGGCATCACAGAATACACTTTAATACCTGTGGTCCCTTTTTGGGTTACAATTTCTGAAGACTATGGAGGTATGCCTCTTGTACTATATAATTTCACTGTAAGAGTGTTTTTTTTAAATTTTTTGAAATAAGTGTCGTTTCATTAAATTCATATTACATATATCATATATATTTATATATAATATTTCTTATATTTAATTCAATATATGTTTTTATAGATCATACTCAACTTAAATTACGTAATTAATTACTAAATGATTCTTGTAGGTGGTCAGAAAACGAATATTGACAGGAAATGTACATTATTTCTTAATGAACACAGTTTATATTTGAACAAGTTGAAATATTAAGTGCACCATAATGTGGTAGCAAAGTCCTTCAGTCACTGACAGTTTACATATTGTGCTTTGTTTACCGATCTGTTAACAAGAATTAGCTTTATTTTTTAATGGGCGAAAGCGATATATTCAACCGCAAAGTATTCAATCTACCTGTACTTTTGTGACACTAGCAAAAATACTACTGAAGCTTGATAAATGAAATGTAGCAATGGACTGGTCACATAACTCAAAGAACCGACAACCGATGGAGAAGAAAGATTCTTGAGTGGCGACTCCATATGGGCAAACGCAGTATAGGATAGCCCCACACTAGATAGAGTGACGACCTCAAATATATTGCAGAGAGTCAGTGGATATAGGTAGCTCAGAACTGTTCCTTATGGCAATCTATAGGGGAAATCTATAGTGAAATGATCATAAGATGCAATAAAAAGACAAAGCACAATACATTAGTTCAAACAAAGAAGTAAGTACAATTTGAACTAGCTAAATTTATGATCGACCAGCGATCTTTAAAAAATTATATGTACCTTATGTAACTTGCTGATAATGTAACTTTCTACACGTGAAAGAATTTTTAAAATCGGTTGAGTAGTTTTTAAGTTTTTTTTTTTTTTATTAAAAACAATCAAACTTTTTCTTTTTATATTGTTAATATCCATAATGCCTGTTGAATATAAATAATTGTAACTGGCCGCTTTACTGTAGTTTTTGAATTAGGTACTACACTAGTTGCTAGATAACGTTTTTGTTACATTAAAATAGAAAATATGAATATATATAATTTTTTTTATTTCTTGGTTTTATTTTCTTACTACTACTACTTCATTTTCTGTGATGTTAGTCACAAGGAATTGCATCAAAATTAATTATAATTAATTTTTATTTACTTATAATCTTTTTGTTCTGATATTCTTAATTCTCAAATCATATAGATAAAAAATAACTGCTTCTTTAGTGTACTTAATTGCATGTGCAATTAAGTTTTTTGTTTATATGATAGTAACATCATATCCTTACTGTGTCATACCGGATAGTGACTTAATTTAGAACAAAGAGCGCTATATTCATAGTGGTGTCCTTAGCTAATAGTTTAATTGCAATGCCTGTTATTCGGTCGAGGTACAGATTAGATAAAGATCTGCGCCCAGGAGGTCACTTGCCTGTTCCACGTTTACTGAACTATTCATCAGGCTTGCATAACTGGCGTCCTATTCATAGCCGAAGCTTGTACTCTGTGTAATTGTTCGGAAATTAATAATGCAGTGAGTAATTTTGGTACGCGTGCAGCGATGTCGTTTCAATATTCTCTTTGTTGAATTACAACGATATTAGGTCGTTTATAATTGAGATCTATATGTTACAAATAGCCTTGGAATTCTTAGTTATATTGTGGTTTTATTATAAATGCTAATATTTGTATATTTGCTACTGTACACGTCGAAATTACTAAGCCAATTTAAAAGTAATTTAGTATTCTTATTGCAGTATTATATTATTTTATTATTATATAGTAGTTTTATTATTATACATCATAATCATTATTTCGGCCATTAATTATTAAATAAATGGAATGGTCTCGAGCCACCTGCATCCACTGTAATTGAGGTTGTTGCTCCATCAAGTAGGGAGTCATCTTACTTTGCTGTTGTTATCACGTATATTGTTAATATTTGAATGTTAAATTTACTAACTTCAATAACTGCTAAATATAGCAATACTTTGTAAGTGTAAATAAACGAGATAATATTTAAGCCATAGCTATGAATACAGCATCCATTTAACGTCAGCGCTATCCGATGAGTTAATAATATTATTATATGGAATTATCTCTGAACGAGAGCCATAAATAACATTCTAGTTCATTTTTGGGTGCCTCCGTGGCTGAGGTCAAGTAGCTTTTAAATAATTGTTCATGTGCCAGTAATTGATTGTTTTAATCATACGCGTCCTTCACTTGTACATTATAAAATGTGCTTTTTGAACTGATTGATTGGTATAGATTAAGCGCAGTTTAGTAGCTATGTGTAGTAAGTCCACGACCATCACGTAAAACAGCATAGGAATGCAATTAATTGTCGTTATATTAAGGACACAACAATAAATTGGTTTGTACGAAAATGAAATTTATAATGAAAAGATAAGTATCAATATTGTTTAGGTACTTTAATTTGTATCCAGTCTAAGTTTTTGTCGGTGGGATGTGGCACGTGCCGTTGTATTTGTACTCCTGAAAAAAATCAAAAGTGTTTATTACTCATCAAACTTATATTGAAACAATAAGCTAATTAATTCGAAAAACCACGGAAAACTTGTCCTCTATCACTTTAGATTCGAATATGTTCGGCAAATGTAAACTTTATCTCATTCTAACGACTAAATAGTGTGCGAAGTACTTAATATTTAGTGACGTGCTAATGTACTATTCAAATACGTAAATGTAGGCACATCGCGTGATAAATTTATAAAAATCTTTATGAAAATCTAAGAAAGTTTATGAATACTACTAATAAATATACTTCCATTATGTTACATACAGAATTTATATAATTAAGACAAATAAATAAACATACGAATAAAACCTATATATTTAATTAAACCGTTTATACACGTAAGAAACACGTTTAAAAAAACACGTTTTGTGAAAATATCTACATTACATGTTACTTATACTCAAAATACTTAACTCTACTTTCTTCGTAATTCGTGTAAAAATACCTCTGAATAACCCATGTAGAATGGTATCCACATTCATTGGCTTATGGCTTAATGACGCTTCAAGAGACTTGATAAATTTATCAGATAGTAATTCTTACATGGCCTTAATTAGAGATGCACCTAGTATGGATAGCTGAGCGACGTAAAACCGAATCTTGTCGAATGCTTAATATTTCAATTTAACATCCAAAATGTAGTATAAGTTTTATCATTATCATATTAGCCGTTAACTATCCACTGCTGCACATAGGGCTCGATCATAAGGGAGTTTCTGTCAATAGTTGCCATGCTTGGCAGGCGGGTTGGCAACCGCAGTTAGACTTTGGTGATATTTTAAAAGAGACGCTGCTACCCATCCCTCAACCATTAACTGTAAGTCTTACTTTAAAATATTTCCAAATATTCCACATGGGATTACAAATATATAACTGCATAGGTTTAGATTATTATTAGAGACTTATTTTTAACTGAAACTATACATACCGCTTTTCAACAACTGCATAATATCTTGCATGTTGTGTTCGATTGGCGAATCAAAATGAGTCTCAAGTCTTTGGTTTGGATTGAAGTATCCTTTGCCTTTTTGGGAAAGAAAATATTTAATTAGCAAAATAATAATAACTTATTGCCGAATATCAACCATAAATATTAAAAATCTCAGTTTATTGGAATTTCGTAGTAAAATGTTAAAAACCATTTTAATTACCACATATCCGTTCATTAATTTAAAAAAATGATATATAATAGTGATTTACATAAAAAAGTTATAAAAGAAAACATTACCAAATATCAAACGTTAGTACGAAAAAAATTCACCATGCATGAATTATTAAATACGTAGTTGTACTCTAATATATTACAAATACATTGTTATTGAGTAACTTTTCACAGGATATGAGATCCCAGAATGTTAAAGATTCACCCTCCATACTTTACTCTTTACTTACGTTTTTTTAATTATTTCACGTTTGTAATATTTTTTGGGATATATTTAGAACCGTAAAAATGTATGTCCGGTATCCTCTTCTCCGAATAATTCCAAATAAAATATTAAACTAAATTACAAAACTGAAGCTTCTGTTATTTGACCTCTGACTTAGCAGAGACTTCAAGGTCAATTAATACCGTTTAATACTGTAAATATAAATATTATAATCGATAACAAGACGGTGAAAAAAGTACTTGTGGCGTGAAAATTTAGCTTCTTTTCGATTTCTTCCATAGCCTTCTGTAAATCATCCATATAAACTATTCTCTTTCCACTGTCTGTCGATATACTGGATGGAGCTGTAAAATATATTGTATCATTAATACGTATAGTAACAACTCAGTAAAATGGATAATTATAATACTACTAAATTTATCATTTTTATTTGAAATTAAAAACTTTACATTTCGCAAGCTGGAGTACATAATATCTATTAAACATTTCCTTTAATTAGATATGCAGTATTAATGTACCATTATCAAAAACGAGTTGTAGACTGACTTCAAAATAGAATAGATTATTAAATAGAATTACATCTTTTGCGTTTTACGTAATAGTATAGTAAAGACTATATGTACTATATATATATATATATATATATATATATATATAAATAATTTTATGATAACACTGTTGAATGCTCTTTGGAATAAAGTATGATTATAGAGAATTTAGTTCTTTACAGTTTTTGTTTTTAAAGTCAACTTTTGTAATAATTAGTTTAAAATATTTTGGACAAACTATAGTAGTATTGTTAATAATAAAAATTACGTTAACAGCCATTTTTTGTTTAGTTTTTTAATTTACTATGTACCTAATTTACCTATATATATGTATATATATATATATATATATATATATATATATATATATATATATATATATATATATATATATATATATATATATATATTTTCCACAGATGAAAGAATTTTTAAAATATTATAAGTAGTTTGAGTTAAAAACAAACGTAAAAAAATTATTATTATTAATTTATATATTAATTTAGATTAACAAAAAATTTACTCTTTTCTATTATTTCCATAAATGAATATGGAATGTTTATTTTATTATCTTTTTTATAATTGTCATAATACTTAGCGATTCCAATAATCCATTATACTCACTATTATAAGTAACCGTTGCTGCTGTACTAGTTATTATAGATGTCGTTGGTGCCGCTTCAATGACAGTAGCAACTTCAGTAGGACCTTTAAAAAATTAGGCTAAAATTTATATACATAAAAGCTATTTATTATATTCCATTATCTGAAAAGAAGCTTTTCTTTTATATACAATGTCAAATAGAATATAAAAAGAAATCATGTAAAGAATATATTATTATTTACTGTTACTTTATTGATTTTAAATAACCATTAATATTGCGTGAAATATCAAATAAATACAAATAGTTGAATAACTAAAAGATGTTCTACATTATTACGCACCTGTCATTCCATTAGAATTAGAGCGTCCTAGAAAAGATAAACTATTTAATACCCAAATGTAATTTAAAAATCAAACTTTAGATTTTTAATATATTTAGAAAAAAAATATTAAAAAAATAATAATATATACAGTATATGTTAATATTGTAACTTGTATATGTCTATACTAATATAGTATTTTACACGGCCAAGTAATCATTAATAAATAATAACTTAATGACGTACGTGTAAAGACGAAAATAAATGATATGAACATAACACCCATTGATATGAAGATTAATCATTTTAATTAAATATAATGATATGTTGAAACCAAACATTCATCGATATCATTTGAGTGTATCATTCTCCATTACTAAATACAGACCTAGTCCAGAAGTTCTCACACATACTTTGAGGAAAATATACGAGTATGTTTCGGGTGAAAAGAAAATAGGATAGGACACTTCAGTATACAATGGGAATGTAAACGTATTACCCTGTAAATAGTAAACAGAAAATATTAAACTGTAATGCGGCGTACACTTTGGGAACATTTGGCCTAATCTATATTCCGCTACAACGAAAGTTTTATGCAATTAAAATATATTAATATCTTAAATCTAATACTTATTAAAATTACTAACTCTTATAACTATTATAACTCAGCCTATGATACAATACTAACTTAATACGGCAGGTTTTTTCATTACATGTACTACATTCATTTTCCTTTGCGGTACCATCATCTGGGGTACTACTGGATCTTGAAATTCCACTTGCATTTCTATGTTATGGTTTGGAAAATTATCTAAAAGCAATAAAAGTACTTACATGTATATAAAAATTAATAAGTATTAATATAAAATCATCATCATCATCATTATCATATCAGCCTTTAACTGTCCAATATTAAACATAAGCCTCCTGGTAAGTTTCACCAGTAGTTGCCATACTTGACAGGTGAATTAATAACTGCAGTTAGGCTTTGGAAATATTTATATATAGAAGAAGAAATATATATAGAAGAGGGACGCTGCTGCCTATCTCTTGCCCTCCTTTAATCGCCTATTACGAACACATATAGGAAAGGAAGGGGTGGCCTATTCTATTCCGGGATTACATGGTATAAAATATACATGTAATAAGATAATAGTGTCCTGTCGTAGTCTTGATTATCACGCTGACTTATACACCTCAAATATCATTAATACAAACTGGCTCAAACTAAAAACAGTGTGTTTTATTTTATATGTCGTTTTCTTTAAACTTCTTTGATAAATAACTATGACTGGAAACTGAAATTACAGTTACAGCTGTGAATATATTGATAACATTTGTAAAAACTTACTCGTTAAGAATTGTATAGGATTCAAATATTTCTGAAGCAACAAATGCACTTGATTAGATGTTTTCCTGTAAACTAATAGTACAATAAATTGTATAATTTACATTATTTAATTTGTGTTCAGATATTTTTATATGATGAAATACTAAAATTGCTTTCGGTTCAAATAAATAAAAAGAAACCTTGCATAATTATCTCATAATTTTTAATTATCGTAATTAATTAAATGTATTCTATCTCCAACAAAATTGTTAACATCTCTTCAAGGGAATGAACTTAAATAGTTGAACTAATCAATATATTGTACTCACAAACAATAGATATTAAGTGCATGTTCTTAGTTTTTATTTTCTCATATAAGTAATTTATATACAAATCTTAAAAGAAATAAATGTCTTAAAACAAATTAAATTCTAGATGCAGCTATTAGCAACATCAAGTGTAAATTAAAACGATACTTTTTGCTTGATTTTAATACAAATTAAATATTTTTAATGTATTTAGTATTAATATAAACCGACGTGATTTCTGAATGTTAATGTAACATAATTTTTTTAATTCTGTATTTTTGTGATAATAAATAAAAAAAAATATTATTAATAAATTAATATAATTTAAACAAAATCGTAAACCATACCGTCTTTGTTAGTTTCAAACTCATGAGGCATACTTGATATCAATATGAAAAACGTTATATATTTCATAACTGTTGATTTTTCTTTATTAATTTTTTATTGCACAATAAAACTTTGTGATATATATTTTATTTGTAAATCTAAAACAAGTTGTGACTATAATAATACTACTAATAATACTAGCTTTTACTCGCAACTTCGCGTAACCGGGATATGCTCATTGACCGGGATAAAAAGTTCCTGTCTTCCATCATACAGTATGTGTACACCAAATTTCACAGTGATTGATTAAGCATTTAAGGTACTAAAAAATAACAAACAAACTTATTTTCACGTTTATAATATTAGTGAGAATATTATATATCTACTTTAAATATATGCCTGAAATTTTTAGAACATAGCGACAAGAAATTCAATTTATATTATTTGTCATAAAAGTTTTATATGTATTTTTTATTAGTAAAATTATATAAATTCTGTTGCGAACGACAAAAGTGAAATTGTAGTTGGATTACTTTTTCAGATAAGGGATATTTCGTATATAATGTAAGGAGATATTATTTTATACTATTACGAGAGAAATTTAGTCAGTGTTATGTTCACCGTAACTGTAACAGACGATAAGTGCCTTTGATATACGTATAAGGTATTAAAATATACTCCTTTTTTTATTATAATTAGGTAGAAACTAAACATCTACTGTTGCTTTACCTACATGACACTCGTACAGGTTTTTGTAGAAATTTCGAGAAACCTTTATTAGCACACTATTTATTACACATGTATTGTCTACGTTTTAAAGAAGAAATAAATTCAAAATGTCAATATTTTAAAATCACTTATGTAGATTGCATTAATAGATCTTCTAATCGAGGAGAAGGAATTGTTAGTAATGGGTTTAACAACCCCATTGCTAGTGATATATCAGGTCAAATCCCATGTCACAGTGTTTGTGGTCGTACTGACACCGTCTCTGAATTTTGTATGTACATATAATTGGTAGGTATGAAAATAGGTCGTAAAGTTTCATACCATTGGGTGATTAGTGTGTATCTAGAAAAAAAATTAAAGGGCGGAAACACGTTTGCCGGGTTTGCTAGTTTTATATAGTAATCTTTTAGTGAACACATAAATAATAATATTATAACCGCATCAAAAGAGGAAGAGGAAGACCGAGGAATAACTACATGGGACAGATAAAAGAAACACTAGGTGTCATGTCGTATAGGGAGATCAAGGATATGGCCTGGGATAGAGCTGGCTGGAAGAAGATGCAAGAACTAGTTGCACCGACAAGAGGAAACTCTTAAATGAAAAGAGAGAGCCGCATCTATGATGGTCTTAATCCCTGGTGATTTTCTCACAATGAGCTAACTGACTTGACTCATACCTGTCAATCCACTGTAATACCCCGCCCGGATAATTTAATAGTGCAGAGAGAGAAAGTTATTATTATTCATTCTAATTTTGTCCAAAAAAAATACACTTCTGTGTTCTTTTTTAGATATGGCATTGATTGATTATTACAATTATTTTAGATATTTCATGTCAAGCCTAGTGTAAAAATTCCAATCTAATTACTAAATCAAAAACTTGAAATTTTACAGACTCAAGGCTGGGTGTTAAAATATGTCGGCTGTTAGGTAATATTTTTTTTTATTATAATTAGACACCCACGATATTTTTTTTTCTTATTTAGAATAATGAATGGATACTTTTTATTAAATAATTATTAATCTGCGTAGATACCTATTTGATTGCCTACAAAAAAAATATTACAGCCAAAGCTAATAGGTATATAATTTATAATTTTTGTATATTATAATTTATAATTTAAAGACATGTCTGGTATGTCCTTATATAAATAACTGCTATATATCAATGCGTAATCAGATCTAGAAATTTCAATGTTTGATTTTTATCAAATAAAATATTGGAAGAAGAAACAATGCGGCAGTGATTACAATAATATTAATCCTATCAATATGGCTTGTTTATATGTTTACAAGTCTTTATTCGTGACTTCGTCCGTATCACTGGATTTTTTAATGAGGGTGAATGAAATGGCTTGCGCTATCTTATACGCTGGCGGGGCACCAGTGAGAGATGACAAGTGAGGATGGAAACAAGTCAGCCTCTCATGATTAATTCTACAAAAATTAACCACGACGGTTTCCAGGGGTAACCGCGAGGAGGTCGACCTGATGAGGTATATTGTTAGCAATAGGGCTGTTCGTCCTCATTACTGACAATCCCTTTCACCCCGTGTAACCGTATTATACGAATTGACTGGAATATAATAAATAATAATGAATAATTTTATTTAAGTAAACTTAACAATAAACATTTTTGAACAGTAATTTTTTTATGAAACTGCCGCCCAGTTCGGAATGCAATTTCAACTGAGAAGAACGGACAGAAAAGACAGCTGTTGCTTTTTTCGAAATATTTTTTTGAAAAAAGTGAAGTTTACAATGTGAATGAAAAACCACCTACTGCTATAAAATAGTCTATGTCAATATCCATCCTAATTAAAACATGTTAATGAATTTCATGACATTTGCTTGAACCGTTAAAGCGTCAAAAGGCAACAAAGAAAATCACATTCTAGTTCTTTGCTGTCATAAATCAGTGTATAAAATATCTATATATATTAAGTTTCCAAATTTCATTCAAATCCATTCATTAATTTTTGCGTGGCAAAGTAACTCATATCCGTTTATACATTCTTAATTTTTTTTTTAACTTTCCTATCGACAACAATAGTAGGCAGGACATTAAGCATTTTTTTGCTTTAATAATCCATATTAATTCAAATTAAACAAAAATCGCTGCCCGCCGCGCCCTCTGTATGCTTAGATATTTTAAACTATGTAATAAATTTTAATGCAGTTTTCATCAATAGGTTGAGTGATAAAAAAGGAAGGCTTATAGAATATAAAAAAATGCTGAAATATAAAAAAATAATGTATGACGGAATTGTTATTCTTTATTAGGAATATAAAAAAGTCAGCGATCACGTTCTAAATTATACAGACAGCTATAGCCATTTTTTTTTATTAATTATACAAATTATGTAGAGCTATTAGGGGTAAGTCGCTAGTTGATAGAAAAAAATAATAATGAAAAAACAATTATATCAAATGTAAATACCTTTTTTAACCTGAGTAAACTCAGAATTCATATCTTGAACACTTATTACAATCCACTAAAGTACTATTATACTTTAGTGGATAAGTTCAGTTATCGAAGTATCATGTATGTAGGTACCAGTAAATGCAGTGACTATAATAACATTTTAGCGAGTAGCAAATACACAAACATAGATCATATATATTTAGATAGGGCATCATATAATAAAAACTGTTCCCAAAAATTATTTATCTTCTGTTGTATATATTGTATATATTGCCAGACGCATCATTTTTTCAAAATTCTAACTATTCAAACATTCAGTTATCTTGTCAAGATATATGAAAGTAGAATTTTAATAATATAGTAATTTAGTAATATATAAACAAACAAAATGTCAGTTTGTGTGGTAAAGGTGTATTAATAAATTTTAAAATCCATTTTGAAAAAAGAACAGTCGGATGTTTTTGTAGCATGATTTGTAGGGAGGTAGTCTATCTAGATAGTAATTATCCAGGCATATAAAGAATACCAGGGTCGTGTGTGCCTTAAATTATTAAATTTAATAAGAGAATCGATAAAATTTATTACGGAACAGAAATTATTGTTGTCGTGGATCTCGATAGTTGTCATTATTTTAGAACGTACCTAATATTGTGCTTATCGCTGCGCGGGCGCCGGCGACACAGCGACAATCGTGAGAGTGCGCGCCCCGTAAGACCATGTGAGATAAAGTTTCATTTATAAAGAACATGTGGTATGAAGAACCATCCAGGTCATAAGGGATAGGACATGTTGAAATAAAAATTACCTTTGATAGCAAAAACAGTAATATTTGATAATCTTCGTGGTGTTAGAGTAGGTTTTTTATGGATGTAATGTACGGGTTTCCATCCCTTCTTGCACTATTGTACCTACGCGGTCAAGCTAAAAGTAAGAGGTATTCGATGAGGATGAAATCAGGTCAGTTAGTCAATCCTGACAATTTTAAAGTTATATATTAGAGATTATATTTTTAGAAATATATATGCAATAACACATACTACCTAATGCTTTTGCTTTTTTTATTTTGCCCATAACTTCGTATGCGAATATTTTGAAAGAAAATAATCACTTCTAGATAAGGTATTATGATGACGCACATACCAGATTTTAAGTTAGATCTTCAGGAATATAACTGTGAAACATTCAGTTTGGTGCAGTACTCTTTACGTGCTGCCGGAATAAACATACAGATAACTTACGATGAAGAGAAATAATTAAAAATATATATTTTTCTAAATATATAATAACTAATTTTATTTCCATAACTGATGACTAAATACTTCATTTCCATACTTTTGTAAGCAAGAACAGGCCTTTAATATAAATTTCAATGAGGATTTCTTTGATTTATAACTATAAATCAAACGGCTGAAATACTGCTGATTTATTCTTGGCAGTAATTGTATAAAATTATTTATTTCTGATTTATTAGACAGTGTACCGACAAACATTGTATATTAATAAACTTAAAATTGAATAAATTCAATATTAACTACATGTTGCACATTTGAGTTTTTACTTTTTACAGTATACGTCTATTTTTATATATTTTTACAATTTACAATTTTCTTAATCATTTTTTTTACAACACAGGGGGCAATGAACCTTACTGAAGGCTCATCTGATAGTAAATGTCCACCGCCGCCCATGATCACCCGCAACACCAGATGCATCGCAAGTGTGCTGCCGACCTTATAAAAAGGAATATGCTCTTTTCTTGAAGGTTATGATGTTGTATCGGTTCGGAAATACTGCGGCTGGAAGTTGACTCCAAAGAGTGGTTGTGCGTAGAAGAAAGTGCCTTGAAAAATGCATGGTGGAGGACCGCCACTCATACAGATAATTGGCATAGAACTTTAGTTTGTGGCGGATTGGATGGTAGTGAAAATCAGCAGCAGGTATCATTTCGAACAATTTCTCAGATTAGTAACTTCGTCTCAAAGTACCTATTATTCTATTTGACAAAAACAACCAAAAATAGTGCGATATTCATTGTCATACTAATTTTATTTCTTAAATTTATAAAAATA